TAGATGGGCTTCAGATTGGTTTCACAGGTCGGCGCAACATCGAGGGCTGAAGGGCCTGTACTGCGCTGTAATGTTCTATGTTCTATGGTATAATTCGCAGAGTATTAATCTGGAAACTCAGCTCATGTTCTGGGGGCTCAGGTTCAAATCCCAATACAGGAGATGGTGAAATTTGAACAGAATTAAAATAAATCGACTTAAGAATCTAAACATGAACATTGGGGATTGTCAGGAATAACTCATCTGGCTCACTAATATCCTTCATAACTACCATCATCACCTCGACTGGCCGAGATGTGACTCCAAACCCACAGCAACGTAGTTGACCCTCAGCTGCAAGCCACTCAGTTGTAGCAATCATTACAAAGCCTCACAAAGAAGTGAAACTGGACAGACCATCCAGCATCGACCTAGGCACAGGAAAAGATGACAGCAGAAACAACCCTGTTGACCCTGCAAAGTCCTCCTCGCTACCATCTAAGCGCTAGTGCCAAAATTGGGAGTGGTATTTCACAGACTAGTCAAGCAACAGCCTGACATGGCCATATTCATGGAATCATACTTTGCAGACAATGTCCCACTCACCACCGTTGCCATCCCTGGACATGTTCTGTCCCACCAGCAGGACAGGCCCAGCAGAAGTGGTGCCACAGTGGCATACAACAGGAGGGAGTTGCTCTCTGGGGAGTCCTCAACATGACTCCAGACTCCACAGAGTCTCATCGTTTCAGGTTAAACATGGGATTGGAAACTCCCTGCTGATTATCACATACTGTCCTCCCTCAGCTGATGAATCGGTACTCCTCCATATTGAACAACACTTAGAGGAAGCACTGAGGATGGCAAGGGCGCAAAATGTATTCTGGGTGGGGGATTTCAATGTCCATCACCAAGAGTGGCTCGGCAGCAATACTACAGTTTGCACTGGTCGGGTCCTAAGTAGCTGCTAGACTGGGTCTGAGGCAGGTGATGAGGGAACCAATAAGCTGAAAAAAAATACTTGACCTCATCGTTACCAATCTGCCAACTACAGATGCATCTGTCTGTGACAGTATCAGTAAGAGTGACCACCGCACAGTCCCTTTGGAGCTGTAGTCCCACCTTCACATTGAGAATACCCTCCATCATGTTGTGTGGCGCTATCACTGTGCTAAACAGGACAGACATTGAAAAGATTTGGCAACTCAAGACTGGGCATTCATGAGGTGCTGTGGGCCATCAACAGCAGCAGAATTAACTCTAACACAATCTGAAACCTCATGGCCTGGACCGGGAGCACAGGAATCAGCTGGTTGATGCTGGACAAGAGTCGATTATAATCATGTGAAAAATGGTTTTGCTCAAAATCTTTCTTTACCTAAAATGATGAGAGGTCAGATCAAGATGACAATTGAGTTTCCAAAAGAAACCATCCATTTTACAAGAAAAATAAACTGCATGCAGTGGCACTTGCAAGTTAGTCTGTAGATATACTTTATAAAGCCTTATCACATAAGCAAAAACTGCACTTTTGGAGACAACAAGGTGCAGGGCTGGATGAACACAGCAGGCCAAGCAGCATCATAGGAGGAGCTGCACTTTTGGAGACTGTTCCAGTTTTCTGTCTCTACTAAGCATTGCAACATATAATTTTTAAAGAGTGCAGGTCTTCTTAAGGTATGCCCAGGAATTTCTGTTGGTTATTCACCTGATGTCTGCTGGTTCCTGAGGCAACTTTGTCTCTCTGAGGATATTGTTGTGTGATTGCTGCTGTCGAACCGTTGCACTTGATTGGGAATGGCTGACCTCCAGACTGATGGTTATTAATTTTTCTTGTTGTGCCGGTACAGTCAGAGCTACCTCTTCTGCTGTGATGGAGCAACTTCTCCATATGCACAGAAATATCTCTGCTTTCAATAGATTTGGTCATTCAGTTTCATGTACAGTGTACAATTAAAGTTCCAGTTTGCCAAGTGGACTAACTTTTATTGAGTGCATTGCAAACTTGTGGCACCTTTATCAAAATGGCTGCCAGCACTCACTCATTACTTTTCTAGCCTAAATAGCTTTTTAATTATTGGAAGAATAGTCTGGGTGAGGTGTGACATTAATTGCTAGACTGGACAACCTGCCATTTCTTCAGTGAGTCTGTCTCTTCACTCTAATAACACTCAACACTCCATCTGCATACAGTGTTATTCAGTGTGTGTTAATGCTCTGGATACAAGCACAACGTGTTACCCTCACTGCATGGGGATTGCTCCAAGTCCTGTGTCACTGACATCACACTGCAGGGTGGCTCCATTGTTGACATCATAATCCCTCAGCACTGGTGATGTCATCACTAGGTGTTTGATGGGAGTGAAAGCTGCTTCTTGTTCTGTGTCCCAGTCCCACTGAACACCCTGCACCATGAGACTGTGTACACTGTTACACACTGTGAGGATAGATTGGTACAAGTGGGCCCTCTGTGGGATCACTAATGTTCCAGGAGGTCCAAGACTGTGTGAAGGCTTTATTACAGAACTCATCCTGGTAGGACTTATCCCCTGTGAGTGTGTTAAAGGATCAGGAGATCCGCTGATTGGTCAAAAGACTTGTCACAAATATTACACCTGCAGAATTTCTCCCTCTGTGAATCCTGTGGTGTCCTGGGTGGTTCATCAAAAACCTCAGACGAGAAGGATTACTTCCTTGTGTGGATCCTCTGATGGACAAGAAAGTCCCACGACCTCGAGAACGACTTGTTGCACACGTTGCATGTGAATGGTTTCTCTCCTGTGTGAACAAATTGGTGTCTGCGAAGGTTATACAACCGTGAGAATGATTTGTCGCAGACCTCACACATGAACAGTTTCTCCCCTGTGTGAATACGTTGGTGAGTGCGGAGGTTCTCTGACTGTGAGAATGATTTGTCACACACCTCACATGTGAATGGCTTGAAATCCGCATGAATGCGCTGGTGTTTGTGGAGGGCCGATGACACCGAAAATGCCTTGTTACACACCTCACATGTGAATGGTTTCTCCCCTGTGTGAATCCTCTGATGGAGTAGAAGTCTCGATGAATCTGCAAATGATTTGTCACACACCTCACACACAAATGGTTTCTCTCCTGTGTGAACATGTTGGTGTCTGCGAAGGGCGGATGAATCTGAGAATGATCTGTTGCACACTTTGCAAGTGAATGGTTTCTCCTGCGTGTGAATGCGTCGGTGTGTGCGGAGGTTCGATGATGATGAAAATGATTTGTCACATACCTCACATTTGAATGGTTTTTCCCTTGTGTGAATACGTTGGTGTGCACGAAGGTTCACCGACTGTGAGAATGATTTGTTGCACACTTCACAATTGAATGGTTTCTCCCCCGTGTGGATACGTTGGTGTCTGCGGAGGTTTTCTGAGTGTGAGAACGATTTGTCACATGTGTCACACGTGAATGGTTTCTCCTGTGTGTGAATGCGCTGGTGTTTGCAGAGGGTCGAAGAATCAGAGAATGATTTGGTACACACCTCACATGTGAAGGGTTTCTCCCCTGTGTGAATATGTTGATGCATTAGCAGCTTTGATGACTGTGAGAACGATTTGTCACATGTCTCGCACGTAAATGGTTTTCCCTCAGTGTGAATGCGCCGGTGATTCACCAGGCCTGATAACTTTGTAAAGTTCTGCTTACACACCTCACATTCGAATGACTTCTTCCCAGTGTGATTCCATTGGTGTTCCCCAAATGTTGATGGCTGCATGAAGGGTTGGTCACACATCTCACTCTTGAAGGGTTTCTCTTCCATGTCACTGTCTTTAAGTTAACATTTGTGTAACGGAAGTATCCTGAATGATATTAGATCTTGGGTGCCTGTGGCAGCTGCCTCTCACACCTCTCCCCTGTAGGAATGAGTCAGTAGTTCATGAGGCTTGATGGATGATTGAAGCTCTCATCACATTTGAAGCCCACTCACACTTCTTCCCAGCTTCACCCTGACCGAACACCCACAGCCGAACCTTCAGAAAGGTTGGTTCTGATGGAAGGCTCCACACTACTGACCAGTTTCAGATCTGATGATATGTCAAAGCTCCCAATTCGACGATTTCCAGACGATGGTTTCGCTGCCCAACCTTCTCCACACTGTCTGATTTGAGTTGTTCTTCGGGTTATCAGGATCTATCTATGGTATCGATTCTTCTTGTATCTGCTAAATCCTCTATCCTCTGCGATACAGTACAGTGCAATCCTTCTGTAAAACAGGAAGAGGAATCATGATTTCCTCCAGCACCCTTTCCACCCTTGGTGAACAGCTGACTGCCCAGTTTTCTTCAAGCACTTTCATAGGAAGTTTGCCTGACAGGTTAAGCCAGAATTTACTAGCCTTTCTTAACAGACTTTGAGGAAGTGGTGGTGAGCTGCCTTCTTGAACCACTGTAGCCCTTGGGATGTTGGGACACACATCGTACTGTCTGGAAGGGAGTTCCAGAATTTTGAATTGTGACAGGGAAGGAACAATACTATAGTTGCAAGTCAAGGTGGTGTCAGGCTCAGGGGGAACTTACAGATTTTGATGTTTCATATGTCCTTTGCCCTAACCGTCTAGGTGGTGGAGATGATGGGTATGGAAGGTGATGTGGAAAGATCTTTAATGAGTTGCTGCAGTGCATCTTGAGGATGGTACACATCACTGCCACTGTCTGACAGTTTGGAGGGAATGATCATGGAAGGTGATGGATAGGGTGGCAGTCAAGTGGGACTCATTATCCTGGAGGGTGTTGGGCTTTTTGAGTGTTGTGCTGGATACAGTATTTTGCGTATTCCAGGCATGTGGAGAATAATTCATCAGACTCGTAATCTGTGTCTTGTAGATGGTGGACAAGACTTGCGGAGTCAGGAGATGAGTTACTCACTGCAGGATCCCTAGTCCCTTGCAGCCACTGTGTTTACATGGCTGATCCAGTTCAGTTTCTGGTCAATAATAACCCCACCCCACAATCTGCTCAAATACATGCAGATAATGGGTGAAATCATGGTAAAAACCTGAAAGATACTTGTGAAAATTCAATAAAAGGATGACCAATCAAAGAACAGTTGGCCCCAGAAATAGAATAGACAGAATGTCTGAGGAGCTGCTCCTCCAGTCATTGGGTAGTTCTCCATCAAATTTGCCTTCTCTAGGTTCATTGTTGATCGGTTCAGCTCTAAATGTGGGATAGAAGTGGTGGGTCAATGACATTGGGAGTGGAACAGGGTGGGGGGATGGTGGTGGGTGTTATTTCATAAATAGTAACAAACTGGAAACTGAAAAGGTTCTAAGTGACTTGGGGACCCAGGTACTGAGATCATTAAAATGCAATGAAGAGATACAAAAAAATATAAGTTGATGGAAAAGGCTCAAGGAAAGGAATACAATGGACTAGGAGTCAAGTTTCAGTGATTCAATGCCCTGGTTTGATTGTCCCTGGAATACTGAGAACAATTCTGCATACCTCACCACGGCCTTGGGGGGGATTTCAGTCTTGATTTATTAGATTGGTCCCTGGACTGCAAGGGGTACATTATGAGGAGAGCTTAAAGAAATAGGGTTATATTCCTCAGTGTTTAGAAAGTTAAAAGATGATCTGACGAAAGTTTTTGAGATATTAAAGTGAAGAAATTGGGTCAATAGACGGAAATTATTTTTATTGGTTGGGGAGTCGAGAATCAGGCATTGTCTAAAAAATAGACTCAGATCTTTTAGGAGTGAAATGAGGAACCACTTTGACACACAAAGAGTGGGAAAAGATTAGAACTCCCTTCCACAAAAGACTATTAATGCTAAATTCATTATTTAGATCAAGTCTGGAATTGATATATTTTGTTCACCAAAGGTTTGAAGGGCATGAGGGAAAGTGCAGGAATGTGGAGTTCACAGAAACATCACGACCTTTGTGAATGGTGGGACACTGCATGGCTGATTCTATTTTTATAATCAACCTTTTCAGATTAATTATTATACACCTCTAGATCAGGTGGCAGCTGTATTTGGGCCTCCAGACTCAGAGGTAGGGACACTACCGCACCACATGTGCCTCAACACAAAATCCTATTCCATGCCATGAAGCAACAGTCCCTCAGGAACTGTATACAGTACACAGCTCCCAGCACACACACACACAGAACTCAACACCAGGGAATCAGTAAAACTCCTTAGACACTCTGCACTTCCCAGATAATGACATCTCGCCTTCTCATATTCAGGGATGAGCCATCAATAAAACTCAGTCTGGAAATCAGAGGGAAATGCTTCCAACAAACACACTCAATATCCAACACACAGCTCCAGTCAAACAGTTCAGCACAAAGCACGGAGTAAACAGCTCTCTCAGCTGGATCTTCTCACACAGCATAAGGGACATTTCCACCCCTGATTACCCACAGGATAGTCAGACTGCCTGAAGATTGGTGTGGATATTATGGGATACAATTGTATAAAAGCTGCTCCTTCACTCACCATCTCCTCACTTGGTTTTCAGTCCCTATAGGAAGTGAACCAGCTCTGGAAGAGGAAGAGGAGTGAATGGGCAGAGTGGGTGGGCTCTCTGATTGACGTCTCTCACAGCCAATCCAAATATTTCTGCAGCAACATGAGTTTCCTAAAGCTTGGGAAACTGACCGGTGAAATGGAGGTGACTTTGAGCAGCAGATCAAGTGGGGATTTAAACTTGTCAGTGTCCCATCTGAATAAAACCTCACTTATTGCAGCTGCTGTCTCAGTTCCCCTGGTAAATGTTTGACAGAGATTTCTAGTGCGGGAATAGCATTCTTCATCCTCAGAGGCTTTCAAACTGACAACATCAGTGAGGGATGTGTATCCACTGTTGTGTTTGATAGAAGATCAGAACAGAAAGACCCACAGCATCCAAGGCAATGATGATGTTCAGTGATGGGATCAGCACATTAACAGGAGGGGTTGACTTGAGAGCAGGATGGGAACAGGAAGAAGGGTCACAAATTCCTGATGTGCTGGGACTTATAGGTGCTCATGTTCCAGAACTGCTAACAATGATAATCCATCCTGCACAGACTCTCTCAGATTTGAACTGCATGCATCAGAAATACAACTCCATCAGTTCTGTTTGGTCTCCAGGTCCAACGTTGAGTGTGGTGGGAAGGAGTGCACCACAATCCTGGACTTTACATCACACACACTCCTACTCAGCTCACAAAGAACTATTGTTTTTTTTCAGAGTCTGGTATTTTCAATGTAGGTAATTATTTTTGCCCTTTGTTTTCAGGTCAATTTCTCATAATCTAGTAACATTGTCACATTCAGTGATTAATGTTGTTAATGAGTTCTGAGAAGCTTTCGTGCAAAAACTTATTAAAGGTTAACATTTTGCAGTCTCTGTGCCTGATCTGGCACCTCTGTTTGGCAGTTTGTGCATTGGACAACTTGGCAGAGAGCTGTTTTCACTCCTATAGATTGCCCCAATAACTACTGTGTGTTTCTCCCAGTGAATTGTCTAGGTTATCACCAGTAAGTGCCAGCCCTAGCACCAGTGGTATTAGTGTGACCCCATGTCAAATACTGTACAGAGTTTTAGTCTGTTTATTTGAAGAAAATTCAAAATTACATTAGAAGTAATTCAGAGAAGATTCATTCAACTGATTTCTAAATTGGATTTCCTATGATGAGAAGTTGGGCCTGTACCCATTGGGGTTACATTGAATGAAAGTCCACTTGATATATGAATGGGCAGGGAGCAGAGGGATACAGATCCTTGGAAAATAGGCGACAGGTTTAGATAGAGGATCTGGCTCAGCGCAGGCTTGGAGGGTCGAAGGGCCTGTTCCTGTGCTGTAATTTTCTTTGTTCTTTGTTCTTATTGAAATCAAACTGAACTGTCCTGGGGAATGCCATGTGATGTTAGCACCCAACTAGTCAGATTCCCAACATGAACCAATCTGGATAGATCATAATCTTAAAAATTACCCAAGGAACCTTTTACTAAACTGTAAGCACAGAATGTTGCAGTCTTTGTTTTAATCATAAAACAAAACATATGTTTATTAACAATGGAAATTAAGATAAACAAATGATAAACACTCTATTATTTTATAACATAGATTCGAGGATCTTTGGAAATAATCCACAAAGTCTTTATAGATTGAACTGAAACAACAGCTGGAGGTCTGAATCAGTATATCCTGGTTCAGCTTTACAGACACAATTGAAAATCTAAGAATATTAGTGCTATACTCTCCAGTCCAACCCATGAGGTTGGAGACATGCTCACCAAGCCGGTGGGTTTGGTTGCAAACATTTCGTCACCCTGCTAGGGAACATCGTTAGTACATCTCCTGTGAAGTGTTGGTGTTCTGTCCCACTTGTTATTTATATGCCTCAGTTTGTTGGGGTGTTTGGTACCACTTCCGGTTCTGTTTCTCAGTGGTTTATACACAGGGTCTAATTCAATGCGTTTGTTAATGGAATTCCGGTTAGAATACCAGGCCTCCAGGAATTCCCTGGCATGTCTCTGTTTGGCTTGTGCGATTATGGATGTGTTGTCCCAGTCGAATTCGTGTTCCTTTTTGTCCGTGTGTAGTGAGACAATGTGAGAATTGGTTGTGTCTTTTGGTGGCTAGTTGGTGTTTGTGTATCTGTATTGTCAGCTTTCTTCCAGTTTGGCCTATGAGGTGTTTCTCACAGTCCTTTGCATGGTATTTTGTATATTACATTAGTTTTGCTGGTTTTGGGTATGGGATCCTTTACATTCGTCAGTAGCTGTCATAGGGTGGTTATTGGTTTGTGGGCTACCCTGATACCTTGGGATCTGAGAGGTCTTGTGGTCATCGCTGATATGTCCCTGATGTACAGTAGGGTGATTAGTGAATCTGGTCATATTGAGTCTTCCTGTTGTGTTCTGTCTCGGCGGTAACAGCGAATTGTGTTTTTTGGGTATCCATTCCTTTTGAAGACTCCGTATAGGTTCTCCTGTTTTGCTTTGCCTAGTTCCGGGTTGCTGCAATGTGTTGTGGCTCATTTAAATAGTGTCCTGATGCAGCTCCGTTTGTGGGCATTGGGCTAGTTGCTGGTGTAATTGAGTATCTGGTCCGTATGTGTGGTCTTTCTATATACGCTGGTCTGCAGTTCCCCGTTGTTTTTGCGTTCTACCATTATGCCCATGAAGGGTAGTCAGTTGTTGTTCTCTTCTTTTGTGAATTTTATCCCGGTAAGGAAGTTGTTTACGTGTCAGTGGGTTTCTTTTAGTTTTGTGCGATTGATAATCACAAAAGTGTCATCTACATATCGGACCCAGAGTCTGGGTTGTATAGTGGGGAGTACTGGCCGTTCTAACCTTTGCATTACTGCTTCTGCAATCAGTCCTGATATTGGGGATCCCATTGGTGTTCTGTTCATTTGTTTGTATATGCCGTCATTGAAGGTGAAGTGAATTGTGAGTCACAGATCTAGTAGTTTCATGGTAGTGTCCTTATTGATGTTGTTGGTGTCCTGGGGTGCCTGCGTACTTGATTTGTCCAGCAGTGTGGCAATTGTCTCTTTGGCTAGGTCGATGTTTATGGATGTAAATAGTGCTGTTACTTCAAAGGATATCATTATCTCGTCCTCTTCTATCCTGATGACCTTGATGATGTTGAGCAATTCGTGGGATGAGTGGATGGAATGGGTAGTCTTGTCAACTAAATATTTCAAGTTCTGTTGAAGTTCTTTGACAAGTCTATATGTTGGTGTGCCTGGCAGTGAGACAATGGGTCTGAGGGGGACTCCCGGTTTGTGTATCTTGGGGAGTCCATTGAAGCAGAGTGTGTTGGATCCCTTGGACTTCATTTTTTGGTAGTCTGTCTTGCTGATGTCTCCTGAGTTGTGTAATTTCTTCAGGGTCATTGTATCCGGTTCCCTAACAATGGTGTCGGGTCTATCGCCATCTTTTGGTAGGTGTTGGTATCTGCTAGCGGTGTGTTAGCTTTCTCAATGTACTGGGCTCCATTGTCCTTTGTCTGCTGGTAAGATTACAATGTTCCTGTCTTTCTTGAGTCTTTCCAGGGCTTTCCTCTCTTCTGTGTTGAACGTGTTCCATTTCCCTTTTTTACTCAGTGTTGGGACTATCGTCTGTCTGATGATCTGTTGTACTTCTTCCGTGAGTCCGTTGCTCTTTAGTATCGAATCCAGTGCAGCCAGGAAGTCAGAGATAACAAGGTGTAGAGCTGGATGAACACAGCAGGCCAAGCAGCATCAGAGGAGCAGGAAAGCTGACGTTTTGGGCCTAGATCCTTCTTCAGTCAGGAAGTCAGTCTTTTTGGCATCTCTGTAGCTATAATTCAGTCCATGTACCAGGATGGTCTTCTTCGTGTCCGTAAGTGTTCGGCCTGAGATGTTTTTAATTCATGAATCTGTGTTGTCCATGTCATTATTGTGGGTGATTTTGGACAGTTTTTCTTGTAGGGCTATTCTTTGTTCTGGTTTGTTGTTGTATGCTGATGGCTTGCTCGAGTATGGATGTCCATACCTGGTTGGTTACATTGGAGTACAGTTTTTTGGAACACAATTTCCCGCTTGTATTTGTGGAGGTAGTTGTGGGCATCATTGATCTTAACCCTTATCATTCTGCGTCCATTCTGTGGAGCTGTCTTCTCTGCCTGTGGATTGTTGATAGGTGGTTTATATTTTAAGCTTTGTGGTAGAACCTGCTTTCTGAGGTATTTGTGCAGGAAGTACAGTTGTTTGTGAATCACACTCAGATGGATGGCATTTGTTTCCCCTCTGCGGGCCAGTTTGAGGGTGTTGCGCCCATAGGTGTTTAAAATTTTCGAGAAGATTTGTAGCTCAGGTTGTGGATGTGGGTTTGGTTGCAAACTTTTCATCACCCTGCTAGGTAACTCTTCCCCAGGCGAGTTGGACAGTGCTTTCTAACTCCCAACTCCCTGCCCTTTGGCCGTCCATTCACCACAATGTTTCTATAGGTGTCAATCAGGTTTAAACACTCCCTCATATTGACCTTCTCCACCCTTGTTCCCAAAATTCCCTTTACTCCCTTCCGGGTCAATCTCCCTGCTTCTCAAGTTCAAGATGTGAAGATTAGAGTGTATCTGATACACAACTGTTTTATCCATTCATCTTCATATCTGATTGGACCACATCAAACACCAGTGGTCCTGCTTTCCTCTGTTAAAATTGCTTTTTACTCCAGGAAACCCACATCCTTATGGAAGTTGTGCTCCAGCTGTTTAGAACCTACCTGGAGAACTGTGTACAGTTCTGGGCACCATACCTCGTGAAGGATATATTGGCCTTGGAGGAAGTGCAGCGTAGATACACCAGAATGTTCCTGGGGCTAATAGGGTTAATTTATGAGGACAGGTTGCACAGACTGAGCTTGTATTCCTTTGAATGTAGAAAATTATGAGGTAATCTAATTGAGGTGTCCAAGATGATTAATCAAACCAATCAAGTCAAAATGAAACTACTCCATCACAAAGATCACCTACTTTCCCCTCTGTAATATCACCCATTTCCCACACTCCTCACCCC